GAAGCAAGAGTGGGCAGACAGACAAACAGACTCATGAACGGATGGATCGGTGGACGGGTAAACGGACAGATGGACACACGGACGGAGACTTCGCCATACTCATCATCATTCACTTCGTGGATATGCTGTGAAAACCACTAGCGCCATCTAGTTATATTATTCCCTAGGATTGATGGATGGATGGATGGATGGATGGATGGATGGATGGATGGATGGATGGATGGATGGATGGATGGATGGATGGACGGACGGACGGATAGACGGGCGGACTAATGGATGGATGGATGGATGGATGGATGGATGGATGGATGGATGGATGGATGGATGGATGGATGGATGGATGAATGAATGAATGAATGAATGAATGATGGATGGATGGATGGATGGATGGATGGATGGATGGATGGATGGATGGATGGATGGATGGATGGATGGATGGATGGATGGATGGATGGATGGATGGATGGATGGATGGATATGGCTGTGCCTTTTAGATCGGGCGGTGGATAGCGCCACCAGGCCATAATACTTAACGAACCAAAAACTAGATTTATTTTTTTTTCCTTTAAATAGTGAGGTTGAGGATTCGTACTTCTCAGTGAAGGGTTTAATTTTCACTCGTGCCTTGACTTTAGGCACCAATCAGGTAACCTCCTTCTAGTTAATTCTACCCGCTTAAAGTCTATTTTGCCCTCCCTGTCCCTAAACCCCAGTGCTTTGAAAAACTCTGCGCGATCATCCTGAACTATAGGGTGAAGCCCTTTACAGAACATTATCAAGTGCTCGGCAGTTTCCTCTTCCTCTCCACACGCACTGCATACCGTGTCTACCTCTTCGTATTTGGGCCGATATGTCTTGGTTCGCAATACTCCCGTCCTGGCCTCAAACAGTATAGAACTACCCCGAGTATTATCATAGATCCTTTTTTTGGCAATTTCCTGCTTAACAGTCCGATAGATCTGTAGTGCAGACTTCTTAATCATGCCAATTCTCCACATATCGGTCTCAGCTTCCTTCATCTTCTTCTTAACCGATAATTCTTTTTGGTTTGGCCCTCTGCTGTTTTCTAAGTATTTACCAGTCAATTTTCTGGTTAGCTTCCTCCATTTTGTATCGACATTCTTCATGTACAAGTAGGACATGTACACACAGCGCCACCTATTGATCAACTTATAAACTGGAGGCGGCTACATACTACTACTACTACTACTACTACTATTACTACTACTACTACTACAATTAAACGAAGCGTTTCTCTCGCACGCCCAACGAGTTAAATGTGGGAACGTTTTCGGGTTATATAGCGCTCGAAGTGCGTCTTACAGTTACTAGTTTTTTTTAGTGAGCCTCTAATTGGAGGCAAAGTTCTTTGAAGATTCAGTCATTCATACTCGTTTCTGTGTGTTATTTCGTCGGGAACAACTGTCTTTTAATGTAGAACTAACGTAGTATTTACATAAAATATTAAAGCCACTTGATCTTTAAGTGGGCACTATCAGAAAAGAACATGTTTCCGCCATCTTGGCAGGGGCAAAAGGTGGCTTCACTTCTGCTGGCAAGGCATTGCGGGAGCTTCCACTCCAGCAATTTTTCTTTAATCCTCTTTGGTTGGAGCATTGGACGACCCACTCGTTACGCAATTCGCATTGTGTGACGCCTGGCTGTTCATTTGACGTTCTAAAATGCTTTATTACTGATATTAACGCAATTCTTTTCCGGACATCGAGCCTACCTAAGGCCAGTTTAAAAACGAGTTACAAGTACTGGCGTGGCTCAGTAATAGAATACTGGGCTGGCACTCAGCAGACCCGGGTTCGTAACCAATTGGGCGATAGGTGTTTTTATTTTGAGTTTATTTTTTTTCGGTATTGGTTACCGACACTACCAGCGGACAACTACGGCGCCGCGCGTGACCCGTGTTCTGATCCCATAACAGCTTTCGCATTAATAAGGACGAAATAACAATTAAGCATTACCAAACCATACCTGATTACGGCATATTCACGTGATACCCCCACCACTCTGCGTCGCATTTGCTCGAGTTCTCCCGTGGGAAGATGCGGGCGGCTTTTTTTTTTACCTCACTGAGTGTGTGTGTGTGTTTTTGCACCAATTTTTCAAATGAACCGCGCGGGCTTACGAAACCGAAACAGACCAGTGAGGCGTACACGGAGGTTAAAGTAATACTTGCTGGCGTGGAGGAGGCGGCCCTCAAGTGAAGCTGCGCGCCTCCATCTTGCCATAGGCAGAAAGCGAGCCTTCCGCAAGTCAAGCGGCTGTGGGTGTATCGGTGTGCCTCATGTTCTCCGGTGTTGTAGCGTGCGCACGTTGTAATGAACACATCATGCCTTTTCTTAAGGCTACATAGGTCAAGCGAAAAGGTGTTCTGAAATAATGTTTTAGTTGTGAGTATCATATTCCGAGCTTGATGAAAACTTTGTACCGGAACACATGCATGTTCATAGCTCTCAGCCTGTCTTCACATATCTCAAGGTCATTCTTTTCTTTTTTCTAACGTGTTCCTTAATGACCCAAACGTTCGAACCACTTCGGGGCGTGCTGTTGAACAATTGTATTATTATATCACGGGATGACTAGTAGCGAAAATAATTGATAGTCACAACAATAAATCATTTTTCTGGTCACTCGATGTTTAATTACTTGGTTTCTGAATAGTTGGCTACATTTTACGTGATATATTTATTCATGCTAGAAAAAAGTGTGTTGATTCGATGAGGAATATTCTTTTCTGTAGGGTAACTGGCTCCCTCAAGTGAAGGCGGGGGGGGGGGGGGGGGTCGTGGATGGCCCACTTTTTCGAAAAGTATCTAAAGTATGAGCGTAGCCAAAAATTTTTTTCGGGGGGGGGGGGGGGGGTTCATTCATACTTTTTGCATGTTCATGCTTCTCTTTGGTTGTGTGGGTGTATATTATACACAAGCAAAATGAAAAAAAAAAGGGGGGGGGGTTAACCCCCGAACCACCCCTGGCTACGCCCTTGTGTCCCGAAAACATCCTAAACGCTTCCTATTTGAACATCCCAAACGCTTCCAATGTGGGACATCCCATATGGGCCTCTTTTTATAACACTTCTGATGTTTTTCCATCTTGTGTGGGAAGTCCTTTGGATGTTCCGAACTCCCAAAAAGGAAATCATTTGGAAGTCTTTTGGACGTCCTTGCGTTGTCTGGAAAGCGATCACATATGTTAGAGACACTTGTTGAATCGTTACAACCAGACTGGACTGTGACGAGCAAGTTGTCCGGCTGGGCTAGACGCGTTTCTAAAACGCCTGCAATGTCCACTGATACACATCCGTGAGCTTGTTGATACCACTAGAGGGGTAAGCGAATGGAGAATAATGCACAGTTAACTATTAGTTGAAATAGATAGGCGTCTCCGACATTTCGTTTTTGATTACTGACAGGGGCATATCCAGAATAGCTCACAGCTGCACGACATAGACGAAGTGACTGCGCTGTGCTATTGTGGATCTTCACCTATAGCCTGGTCATAAAACTTGCGTAGCCAAAATGTTCTTCGGGGGGGGGGGGGGCATTTTGCCGTTTTCGCGAGGGGCAACTACTTGAAATGACCATCAATCGCTCCCTTTGTCATGGCGAAAAAAAATTTCGAGGGGACGGGGGGGGGAGGGCACGGGTTTGGTATGCTAATCCCTGGCTACGCCCCTACTTCTTATAGTTGTGGTAATTAGAAGCTTAACTCGCTACCGAGAGTAGTTTACAGTGTTTGGGCAACACACAGGGGCCTGTCGTTTTTTGTTACAATCGTGCTTTTTATTTTGTTATTTGAAGTGCAGCGAGCAAAACCCAGTGTCTGAACTGTGCAATGTTTGTGGTGCAACTAACTGCAAAAAAAACAAAAAAAAACTACCGTAACCAAGGTATACTTGTGCAATTATATGTACTCAACTTGAAGATGTGAGAGTTGCATTCGCTACACAGCAGCTCTTACAAAAAAAATGGTTTGTGCTCCCTAAGAGGAGCTAAAACAAACAGCTCCACAAGAAGATTCTACCACAGAGAAATTGTAGTGAAGCAAAACAGTGAGGCTTCATCCTCAAGCTAAAATAAAACGGATCAAGAATGGAAAGCCTATTCCTGAGAGTATAGGGGGAGGAGCTCACTGCAGTCTCCCCCCCCCCCCCCCCATACATACACCTTTTTTTTTCGATGAGCATATATCCTTGTGTTCATGCGAAGCCTGGTGCACCCACTTTTATATTCCATGCAAAGAAAGTATTCGAAATCTACTTATGCATAAGATTCCGTCACATGAAGATTAAAAGAATAAAATAAACAAGAAAATGAATACCGAGAAAGTGAGCTGATTCTCAAGAGTACGCTTCTTCTTAAAAACCAGCGTTACATACCCTTCGTCGATGTGCACGCTTGCTAGGAAAACGCTTAAAGAAACGAAATAAGGTCCACTGTATTCTCGTTTGCCATTTCACTTCTTATTTTTGACAATTTACCATTTAATACCCTCCACAACCGTTATAAACCACGGCGGAAAGAAGCGGCCGGTGCGTTTCGGCTACCGTATCTTGCCCATGGCAAGATGGCCGCCACGGCTTCCTTTCAACCCTCTCCTCTCCAGCAAGATTTATTTAAACCTCCTTGATCATGCACAATGTGCAAGCCTGTAAGTTGTGCAAGCCTGTAACTCTAAGTACAGTGTTTAGAAAGTTAGAGCTTTTGCGCCTTCTTCCATGTTGTGCGCTGACAAGCACTGACAAACAGGGCATCATATCCAACATGTTTTAAACAGGTCATTACATTAACAATAACCAAAGCGTGCAATACGTACATACAAGCCTTTCAAACCACATTTTAAAATTTTGACGTGAGTAGTTAGGGTCATAATATAACAGCATTTATTTTCTTCAAGTACGAGCTTCACGTGTCGCTCGCGAGGGCGCAGCGCCGTCGTGACGTGCGCTTTGCGCGTAATGGTCGTCTCTCCTTGTTGCGTGTGTATGTTGTGTTTCTTTTGAAAAGCGCTCCCTCGTTTCGCCAGTCGCGTGCAATGTGACATTGAAAGGGGGAAGCGAAACGACGCACACCGAGGGTTTCTAGTAGGCCTCTTCCTACGAGACGGGCGGCACACCGACCGAAGGAGTCTCCCGCTAACCTACATTACAAAACGCGCGACCCGCCGAAGGAACACTACGTCAAGCTCGCCCTCGACGCAAATACGAAGAGCGGACACGTACTACGTACTCCGAGGAAGAAGAAGGACTCGCGAGCCGTCGTGGTGCTTTTGTGGAGCCCCCCGTTGGTTTTTGTTTCGTGCTCGAGTGTGCGCTGGGCGGACGGTGCGTCACGGCTCTGTGAACGCGCGTCCCGTGTATGTGTGTCTGCGTGAGGCGCCGCTGCGCAGTTTTCGTTTTTCTTTTCCGCGGTGTTTACCCCGGTCCGACGACGACGAAGCGAGGGAAACAATGAATTTCGCGCATCCGCTGGGTGCCCGCTGTAGCTGCGGTGATCAGCAGTTTCCGCGGCTGCCCCTGCGTCGCTGTGCCTCTGTCAACAGTTCGGGCCGCACCTATGTGTAGCGGGATTGTGTGATTGTGATCCGCGTGTGTGTTGTGTGTGATCGCAGGTTTTCCGCGACTCTTACAAACGTCGTAGGCACCCTCCTCGCCACTACTGCGTTGTTGCACCACGACCAGCTGTTATTTTGCCGGGAACGGGTGGTCGTTCTCTGGTTCGGTGGTCAAAACGGTGTGTATGTTGTGGTCGTTGAGGCCCATGTAGCTACGAACTTTGTGAAACCGCGCTGAATCGGAGGGGTGCCAGTGTTTCGGAGCCAAGTCTTTTCGAAGGTCGCCGGACATTTTTCTACTGCAAGGGTTCTTCGTGCTCGTTTGTTGAAGCGGAGGAGGAGTCGTCGACGACGCCAGCTTGTCAAGGAGACGGTTGACGCGCTCGCGCCCCTTCCCATGTCGCTGTCATCGGCTACGCCGCCGAGGACGACTGCTGTTACAAGTGCGCGATGCATTCTTCGAATTCCTCGCCTCCGACTTCGCGTCGGCGTGGCCAACACCCGGGTTCTTTCTTCACGATACCGCGATGGATGGGGGGCGGAGGAGGCAGCGGAAGTAAGAAGCAGCTGCAGTATCGAAGCCTCAGGTCGCTTGAAGACCCGACGTCCTCCGCCTCGGCGGCGTCGGCTACGGGACGTCGCAAACGTCCCAGCCTGTTCGATCAGATGGTGAAGCGCTTCTTCACGCCCCACGTCGGTCACCACCGGAACGGGACTTCGGAGGCGACCTGGAACGGTGGTGGCAAGTACTCGGCGCCTTCCCGAAGCGGTTCTCTGCGGGACCTCAGGACTCGGGCCGTGGGAGGCGACCCCGGTGGAGGGGACGACACGTTCTTCGCGGGCAACGGGGCCAAGAGACGTCCGGAGGATGCGGGACCTCGGACCCCAGTCCCAGCGGTCGCCGGGATACGGAACGAGGGTAACACGTGCTTCATGAACGCCGTGTTGCAGTGTCTGAGCAACACGGATGCCTTCGCGGAGTACCTGGTCTCCGGGAGCTACCGGGACGACCTGGGAAGGGCCAGGAGTCGCGGGGGTTTCGCGTCGCCCACGCCGCCGGCTCGCGTCACGGAACAGTTGGCGCAAGTGTTGGGAGCCCTGTGGTCGTGCCGGACGGAGGGCGACTTCGCGGCGCGCTTCAAGTCCTGCGTGGAGAAGCACGGCAGCCAGTACCAGGGCAGCGAACAGCACGACGCGCAGGAGTTCCTCATCTGGCTCCTCGACAAGGTGCACGAGGAGTTGCTCGCTGACGACGCCACGGCGACCACTTCGAGCAGCGGTAGTTCGACGACGTCCAACGCGGCGTCCCGATCGAGGCGCGGATCTCTGAAGCGTTCCAAGGTACGCGCGCTTGTTCGTTGAAATTCGTCGCCATTGAGGCTGTGGGTGATGTTGGCGATGTTTGGGGAATGTTGGCATGCTTGATTGTGTGACTGCCTGCGTTTTACTTCGCAGAGTAACAACTGGCGAAAAACAAACTGTTGGTCAGGCTATTTAGAAGGAAGCTTGTTGGTGTGCTGCGCCTTGTTGGTGTGCTGCGCCTGTTTATGGAGACCCCGCTAGAAACTAAAGGGGTCATGCTTAAGGTCATGTTGCCTGTGTGATAGTGTCACTGAAAGCGTTTCGGCTTGCTCCATCTGCATTTCCTGTCAAGCCACAGTGTCTGCCACCACCTAGTTTATTGATCAGGCCGAGAGTGTTTTCACATTTACTTGGGTTTTTTCGCAACCTGAAATCGGCCCAGTTTTACTGTTTGTGATCCCTGCCATGCCAAATCAGAATGTGCCCTCGGCGCACGTCTTTCTGCAGTATAGGGCAGGGGCCACAGCTCAAGGAATAGCGAGGGCCGGAATCGGTTTTCTAGGTTGCACGTTCATAAACGTTGCGCATTCTGGCGGCGTAGCGCAATACTTCTGAACAGGACACGGGCAAGTGGGCAGGTACCGACAAGACTGACGATCAGAGGGACACCAACTTGTCTAGTTAGTGTTCCTGTAGTTGTCTGTGTCCTGTTTGACAGTGTCTTGTTACTTTTCTGTAACGAAAACTAACTAGTGAAGCTCCTTACACTAAGCATGTTCTGGAACTGCTCAAAACTAGCGATGCCCAGAAGCAGTATCCTTTAATGGCATGCGTGCAAAAGTTACATTTTTCACCTGTGGAGAAGCAAGTCTATTGAATATTGTTGCGTCCATGGTGCTTTTCAGCGTGATTTGTAATGACAGCCTTATGGCAGGGGCAAGGTTTTCATTTGAAGTTTCGGAAAAATGTTGGTCCCGGCAGTGGCAGTTGCATTTTGAAGGCGAAAAGCTATAGGCCTGTGTGCTGTGCGATTTTCTTGCACGTTGAAAGAACACGAAATGATTCTTATTTCTGGAGCACTTTACTACAGTGTTCCTCATAATTCTATCGTAGTCTTCGAATGTAAAACTCAGGAAATTAAAATAAAGAGGTGGTGCCATCAAGTTTTGAGGTTATAACAAGCCTGTTGTTGGTTTCCTCTGATTGCAAGGACACTCCAAGTGAAGGGTCAGACTCAGCAGACGCTTAGAATATATTTTAATTCCGTTAGAAGGTGTACTAAAATGCTTGTTATCCAGACCCAGTGCTAGTGGATTCAACACTGACGTAGCTCCATAGGAAAGGCCGGGAAAGTTTTAATGACGTCACGCCACATCTGGGGTGACCTTCGGACCTCCGCCTCGGGCACTACATACGTGCCGGCAAATCATTGGTCACCCCATCACTCGCTGAGTTCGATCGCTTCCTGGCTAAGTTCTGTGCTTCTTCGCGGGAACATGTGTCACAGTCTTTTGTGGTCACCTGACAGAGCGACCTACATACACTGCTACATCACTGTTCAACTTGACAACCAGAAATCAAAACTGAAAGTTGATCATATAAATAAGGTCACATTGAATTATTTAGCGAAAATACCTGAATCTTGGTGCATGTATTGTGCTCCCTGGAGCTATAACAAATGCTTGCAGCAAGGAATGCACAGGCCACAAATTTGGTGGCGTCACCCCTTTAGCATTACCAGCTCAAACATGTTGCTTCTAAAGTGAGATGCCATTTTTCAGGCATCATTTTATCGTTTATATGTGCTTTCGTATTTACAAGCTCTGCAAAGAATGTGTGTGTGTGTGTGTGTGTACACGTGCGTGCGTGCCTGTGTGTGAAAGAGAGAGAGAGAGAGGAGGACACACATACGAAATGTGGCTTTATTAACGCTTTAGCTGGTGGGCTAGCCTTCCTCCATTCTGAGGAAGGCTGGCCCACCAGCCTTAAATGCTAATAAAACCACATTTTGTACGTGTGTCCTTCTCTACAATCATCTATCGTACGGGACCCATCAATCTTCATTCCCTAAATATATATATGTTCTAAGCATGCCAACATATGACTGTAAAATGTAGCTTTTCTTTGCCACATAAAGGTTCACGCAACACATCCTTGCAGTGTTTGTCATTTGGAAGTGACTTGAGGCATTGTTACAAGTTTGTCTGAACGTTGTCAATGTTTGTAGTATTTCACTTGATGAGATTTAACAAGGCAAGCGCTAGCTCGTAGTCAAGTAGGGCGAGTGTGGTATTTCATTGTTGCATTCTCTTCATTCTGCGGATGAATGTTTAGCTTGACGTCGAAGGCTCCTATGTGATACGTTAAATTGGCGGGAAAATGAAGTGGCTGCCATTCCAATTTTTAAACTTGTCTTGTGGCAGGCAAAATCGGGTCTTTCGCCATTACAATACAATCAAGCCCCTTTATAAGAGACACAGATGTAACAGACAAATGGGTATGAGAGACATCAGTGTGTCTGCATCAAAACAGGAAAGAAAATTCATATGTGGTACTCTGCTTATGGGAGACGCCTCATATATAATAGAATAATTGCTCCCCGGTGCACCACAACATGAACAACACAGAAGAACAATGTGAGGCACTGCTGTCCAGCTCGGCCATTGCTGATCAGTGCGGGCTGGTCCAACGGGTAGAGATGATGGCTAGGGCCAGCGGAGCCCTGGAATAGGGGCCTGACCATTTGGAATGCTCCGCATTATGTGCAACTAAAGTTTTCTTTCTCTATCTCTGCTCCCCGGTGCATGTCTCTTATAAAAGGGTTCAATTGTAGACGGGGAGTAGTAGTGCGCAGATTCGTCTGTCTTTAAGGTCAGGCTAACAGCGTATCAAAAAGACAGTCTGCTTATTGAACTTCAAGGCCCAAAAATGACGTTATCACGTCAAAGTCACCTTGATTGACGTTCGCTCTCGAAGTGTGGGAGCGTAAACAAGCGCGCATCTGGGAATCTCAGCCTGACTTGTTGTGAACACCATCAGAACAAAGCGTTGCTTTGCTGGTGTTTCGTGTGCCGTATGCGTTCTAGATTCCATCAAAGTGATACCTTAAGTGAATACACCTGAGGGCCTACGCCTGTGACAGTTCATCTTGAGCAGTCGAGAAGGGGAGTTATGCATTTTCAAAACTCGCACCATTGACATTAAGTGACTTCTTACGGCTGTCAGCACATAGAGTCTCAAATGACAATCTGAGCTCGCTCCGAGGCAATCTGCAATTATGAAGGAAGACGATTTCAACAACATGATAATTTGGTGGGCTAGTGTTGCTGGGATGTTTATTTATTTATTCATTCAATTCAGATATTGCAGTAGAAAATGGGCATTATTGTAGGGAAGAAAACAAAAGTAAAGTCTTACATCACAAGTTGCTGTATGGGTTTTAAAGTATCATCATGCTTTAATATTGTTTCGGTGTTTCTCACCAACCATTTAATTATGCGGCAACATTTTAATATTTTTACCGTCCACATAAAGGGACATGCCAGTTTCTGTACCTACACAGCACTGTGATGTGGAATCCGAATAAGGCATAAATTCCAGAGAAGACGGTTGCTGGAAGAGATTATTTTTTTGTTAAGGGGGGTGTCCCTGAAGCGATTGTTTTGACAAGCAGTGTTGCATTCTGGTGGTCGTGCCTTCCTCGGGCACCAGGACCACCACAAGACAAGACGGCTTGTTGAAACATTGGTTCTAGCGACACCTTCTTTTCAAGAATACTGTACTGTGACATCGTGTTCTGGCCAGTAGACATGTCGTCACGGGCTGCACGTAGTTCGCTACTCATATGTCCTGCAGCCCCGCTCTGTGGCATTGGCAAAGGTTAGAGCTCAGCTGTTAATGTGTCCCTTGTAGGGGTGTGTGAACAGTCGAATCAGACAGTGATCATCACAAATCGTCTACAAATATAAATGATATGCTATTGAAATAGCTTTCAAATAGTAAAGTGGTCATTTTCAAAACAGTTGTAGAATTCAAGAATACTTTTTTTGGAACATATATTCACAAGCATTACTAAAGGTTCATTACGGTTGACTCTAACCAACAAAAAGATGCCACAGTTATGTAAACTGAGGTAAGCTCGTACGAACGTTGACAGCATACGAGATATTTTGATATGGTGCAACATGAAAATGCACTAGTCATTTGATAAGCCAGGGCGGTATTTTGTCTCCACATATTAATTACAATTGAAGTATCAAAAGTAAAAAATTTTGATGAGCCAACGTCATGAACGAGTAATGACGTCGGCTTTTCGCAGATTAACAGCAGCTTTGCTTAAGCGACACTGGAGTTTTAAATAAAAGCAGCTTCATGTGTAATGAGTACAGCATTGATAGTTCCGTAAAAGATTTGGCTGCATGTATCATGGTAATCCAATAAGTAAAACAAAAAAGTGCTCCTTCGATGCTCCAAGCTATTGTTCCTTCAGGATTTTCCCATCAGCGCTCATTATTTTAAAAGTATTAGAAAAATATTAGATATTTCAAACATAGGGTACCTGATTGGAATATCGAATCGAATAGAACACTACTTTATTATTCGACATTTTTGAATATTCGCACAGCCCTTGTCCAGTGACGTTCTTGGTTCAACATGCCAAAAGCGCCCTGTGCATTGCATCATAAGTCATCCTCACTCCTCGAAATTCACTGGCAAATTACCTCGGGATATATCCACTCCACCTGGAACGTAAAAATCGGTGCAGAACAATCTAAAAGCATTTTAATCATGTTCTTGGTGCCAGCTTTCGAAAACAATTTTACTGATTTGACATTAGCTGCTTTGCAATCATGTGCACCATGAGCGAAAGGTGTCTCTCTGCTTTTGCATTTTCAACAAAATGTGGTGGAATAGCATTCAATTGTTGCAATGGGAGCGCGGTTTCCTACGGGTCGTTTATGTTTCTCTGGTATGTGGACAAAGTGTATCACTGCCTCCTTGCGCAGATTAGCCATTCACTATTAAGGGGACAGCCTCAG